ATTATGTTCATGTTCGAGTCTTCAGTCTCACTAATACACCTTGTCGGGAGGCTTAAATAGGCCTAAAACTACTGTACTTCATCCGAATCACATTACATGAAGTCCAGGTAATCATTAAAACACTGTACTCTATTTTTATTTTATTTTTATTTTTTTTGCATACCGTGACATTTGCTTAAAAAGTGTTCTCCACAACCCAAGGGTGTTTGGCAACTTGGTAAAGGTTTGGGGGTTAAGACCCTAGGTCCCAAGTTCAAAACCCCTTGGACCAATCTCCTGGACGTAGGGTAGTTGATTAGGAGGTTAGCCTCAAGTTGTTGCTACCACTACACTTGGTGTGGGCCCAATGCTCTCCCGCTGCTCGAGTCCTAACTTAAGCGGAGCTTGTCTTGGGAGGTCGGGACAAGTTTTTGTAGGACAATCTTTACTGTATTTAAAAGATTTAATTCTATTGTGTACAAAATAACAACTAGAATTTAAAGAAATAAAGAAAATGAGAGAATTTGCTTGATTTGTACATAAATAAACTAATTAAATATGCATTCAAATGTTCTTGTGAATATATATATTTTTCGACTCATGTACAGAAATTATTCACGACTACGGATCCACACACGGAAAATAAAGAATGATTCAGAAAACCAATAAAGAAAATAATCTTGCCATAAAGGTTTCTTCCTAATAAAAATAAAATTAGTTTGTAAAACTAGTATTTTATTCTAGAAACAAATTCTCCCATGTACTACGATAAAGTCAAAAGAACTAACACCTTTTCACAAAAGGTTCAAAATTAAGTGATCTTACAAACGATATCGTAAGTCACGTACAAAATTTACAGATTGTGACCGATACACAAAGTTACATGATTGATTAACAAAATTAATTTTCTAGTTACTAAAACCAGAAAATAAATTATAATACAAAATAATTTTATTTTCTATGTTACTAAAACTAGAAAATAAAATACCACAAATTAATTTTCTAGTTACTTAAACCAAAAAATAAATTATAACACAAAATCATTTTATTTTTCTTGTTACTAAAACTAGAAAATACTGTAATTTTATTTTCCTTGTTACTGAAACTAGAAAATAAAATATCACAAAACTATCTGATTACAAAAATCAGAATAAACACAAAATAATTTTCTAGTTACCAAAATCAGAAAATAAATTAAAACACAAAATAATTTTATTTTCTTTGTTACTAAAACTAGAAAATAATATAATTTTATTTTCCTTGTTACTAAAACTAGAAAAATAAAATACCAAAATAATTTTCTGTAACACCAAATAATATTCTGCAATTGTTAATGACACCAGTATATTACTACTAGTTATCAAAGAAAAGAGACAGTATATTATTACTATCTGTCAAATAACATAAATCACTATTTGTTTTTCCAACCAGAATATTAGTTTGAAAACACAGAAAATTAAATACAATGAAAATACCAAAAATGATTCTGTCTTAAGATTGTAGGACAATCTTCACTGTATAAATTCTGTTGTGTACAAAACAACAACAAGAATATAAAGAAATAAAGAAAATGAGAGAATTTGTTTGATTACAAAAATCAAACTCGAAATAAAAAAATAAAAAATAAAAACAGATTTTATTTTGTTACAAAAATAAAATTAAAATCTGATTTAAATAAATAATAATAAGAAAGAAGTGCCAAACGTACATAGTTGATTTAATTTCTTCGAATTATAATCTGATCAAGTCCAGTGTTTGACACTGTATCCTTAAGACAGATTCGTCCTCTCCACGGTGCTTTCAGAATGTGGACGTCTATCTCCTAGGATAAAATGATCTACTACAAATAATAGCAGCACTACAAATTATTTGTCTAACGAACACACAAAGTGTTTATACTCTCTCTGACAAGAAAATAATGCAGCAAAATGAAGAAGATGTTTGCAGAATTATGAAAGACGAAAATTAGAGTTACAAAATCCAAATGAGGGTTGTCCTATTTATAGTTGTAATGGTGGCTGTAGGTTTTGAATTGAATAGGTATGAAACCTGTTGGTTTTGAATTCAAACAGATTTGAATCTGTTGGATTACAATTCAAACAGATAACAAAAATGGAAAGGGCCTTGTTTGGGTGTACAGTAAATCCGGATCAAATTATTTTGGGTTTAATACGGGAAGGGCCCTGTTTGAATGTACAGAAAAACCAAACCAGTTTAATTTGAATTCTGGATTTTATTTTACCAAAAATAAAATTAAATTCAAATGTTTTTGACCCAAAAAGATTAGTATTGGGCCGGACAAGCCCAACCCAACCTCACACCACGCACCCGCGCCCAAGCCCAGGCCCAGCCCAGCCCGCCC